TCCTGGCCACCCCTTTCCTTTCCCCAACTGCGTTATCTGAAGCAGTGCAGCCTTCTTACCTGCCTTTGGACTCTTCTTCCTTCGGTCAGACTTTCTTCTGAGTCTGCACTCAGTGTCAGATTGATCTCTGTAAAACATTACCTCTAAGTCATGTCAGATTTCACTCCCTATGGGATTAAAGCCAAGCTTCTTAGCCCTGCATTCAGAGCCCTTCATTGGCTGTTCCCAGCCTACCTTTCTAGCCTTCCTTTCCACAATAGTACTTACCTCCTGTTCCAACTGTATTGCTCAAGTCACTATCCTGCCAACATAGCACTTTCTCTCTGGACCTTCCCAGGTAGTTCCCACCTCTTTCCTGCCAGTTCTACCTCTCCAAATCCCACCTATCTTTTGAGGTATTCTGCAATGCACCTCCCAATGTGCCTTTTCTGGTCTCCCTATCCCAAAGCATTCACTCTTGCAGAACAACCAGAATATCTTATCTTTAACTTTGGGTGGTTCATAGACCAGCAGTGTGGGGTATCATCTGAGATCTTGTTAGAAATGCAGAATCTCAGGTTCCACCTGGGACCCATGGGATTGAGGTCTGCATTTCAACAAGATCCCCAAGCGATTTGTGTGAATATTTAAGTTTGAGGGTGCATTCATGAAGGGGTAGGATTTTGCTTCTGTTTGGGAATGGCCTTTAGCCAGGGCTGGTCGTGTTCTCAAGTGCGAAGTCTAGCAGCCCCCATCTGGTGACAGGTGCCACATCGGGCCAGATCCCATGAGCTATGGGAAGGGGTGGATGGTTGAGATTGGCTGAGAAGCATCATACTTTGCCTGGACCCCTCCCACCTGGAATCTATTACCTGCAAGGCCCCAGAGCTCAAGCTCTGTAAATCTGACTCCAGAAAGCACTCTAGCAACACAAGGAGGAATCAATTAATCAATGAAGAAGTAGTTATCAAGCAGATAGCAGAACTTCCTCCTCTTCACAAAACACATATTCGTGGAAATGACTGTTATCTTAATGTATGTTTTGAAAAGAAAAATATGTATTTTAGTTTTTCTTTATGATAACATCAATATAGTTTCTCAAGTGGGAACTTAGAAAAACACAATATGTCACATGAAGAAAATAAAAATGACTCACAATTCTACTATCCAACTATAAATACTGTTAATTTAATCTTTGTTTGAGATCATCATTCATTCATTCAACACATTTTTAGAGAGCCCTACTATGGGCCAGACCTGTGCCAGGCCCTGGAGGGTCAGGGTAAAGAAGACATGGTGTCTATTTTTAGGCAGCTCACAGCCAGGGGCTGGGGTGCGGGAGACAAGCACTGAACACATTAGGAATTGCAGTATATGAGTTTACTAGGGCAGCTGTAGCAAAGTACCACAAACTGACTTGCCTAAAACAACAGAAACTTATTCTCTTACAGTTCTGGAGGCTAAAGGTCCAAGATCAAGGTGTTGGCAGGATCGGCTCCTTCTGAGAGAGATGCTGTTCCATGGCTCTCTCCTAGCTTCTGGTGACAGCTGGTAATCCTTGGCATTCTTCAGTCAATTGCTCTTCACTCCAAACTCTGCCTCTGTCATCCCATGGCATTCTCCCTGTGTGTCTCTGTCTTCACATTCTTATAAGGACACCCTTATTAGGGACCACCCTACTCCAGCATGACCTCAACTTAACTAATCACATCTGCAATGACTCTCTTCCAAACAAGGTCATATTCTGAGGTCCTGGGGTTTCTGCCTCAACATATCTTTTTTGGGGGGAGGGTGGGGGACACAATTCACATAACAGGCAGGGACAGTCCAGAGTCTGGGAGAGCATGACAGGGGGACTCACTTTATCTGGGAAGACTCCCCTAGAAAATGACACTGCAACTGGGACTGAGCAATGAGTAGGGATCAGCCAGGCGAAGGTGGCTCAGCAGGTAAATACAGGGCCTCAGAACATGAGGGTAGGGAGGCTGGAGAAGAGCATTCCAGGCAGATGAGAGACACGGGGCACTTTTGAGGAATGGGAAAAAGGCAAGTGCAGCTGAAATACAGAAGAGGGGCAAGAGGATGGGATGACCTGGGTCACTGGGCTTATGGGCCTTGGTGTGAGGGGGTTTTTACTTTCTCCTGAAGGGAATGCGGAGCTATGGGAAGCTGTCATGCAGGAGTGATTCATTCTGCTTTGTGAGCAATCTCCTCACAACACTGAGCTGTCTAAAGGCTGTGTGGTTCCTCTCTATCCCCGGTTCTGAGGGAAGACACATGGCCATGTCCTCAGGAGCCCCCTGGCTGAGAGAAGACACACATGGCAGCCCGGGCTGAGGAATGAAGGCATGGCCATGCCTCCAGGAGCCCCTAGTCCAAGTTGGGAGGATAAGCCCTGCCCTCTACCACCTTGATCTGAGTAGGACATAGGGTTCAACCAGCTCTGGGTCTCTCTTGCCCTTCAGTGTCCTGAGTCATTGGAGCTGGGGACGCAGTTTTGGGCCTGGCCGCCCCTCCCTCTGCCCTGCCATGAGGCCTGTGTCCGAGAACGTGTCCAGGGCAAGCGCATGACCCATGGAGGTCCCTGAGGCCAGAGGTGCAGATGCTGAAGGAGGCACCAGGGGCTAGGTTTAGCAGGGGCCATCATCTTAGTACCTTGCTCCCCTCAAAGAATCTCTGGGCTATTGCCTTTCTATGTAGGAACCAGCCTGGGGCTCAACCCATCCCTTACCACACCCTCAGAGGGCCACCTCTTTACTGTGTGTGATGGGGAGGGCCCCCTGCCCCAGGCTGCGTGTCCTCCCTTGCCTGGGCTGGGTGGGCCAGGCTGGGTGGAGGAGAAGTGGGTCAGCTCCGTAGCCATGGTGACTGCAGCTGCTCCCTGCCAGTCTTCTCATCTCCTCACCACAAACCTCCCCGAGGAGCTCTTTTGTCCGACCTGCAGGGATGGGGGCCAGGAGTGTGGTACTGGGGGCCGGAGCGGGGACGCGCGTGCGCGCGTGTATGTGTGTGTGTGTGTGTGTGTGTGTGTATTCAAGCTCACACAAGCGCCCGCCCGGAGCTGGCGTGCGTGCCTCAGCCAAGGGAACCCAAGATCCAGGTAAGACACTTCCCACTTCCCTGCCCACTGAGGGGATGGGCTCTTCCCGCCTCTCTGGGCTGGGCAGGGGCCAAGGAGGGGTGTGTGTATGAGTGTGCGTGGGTGTGTACACATATGTGAGTCTGCAGATGCCTGTGGCTGTCAGTGCAGCGGCTTCTGTGTGCCTTTGTCTTGGGGGTGAATGTGCATATCTGTGTACGCATGTGATTATGTCTTTAAGTGTATATCATCTGTCTGGGTCTGTAGGGTGTGTGATCACACATTTGAAATCGAGTGCCTTATGTCTCTCCCTGTGTCTGTGCATAGCGTTGTGTGTGGGAGTCTGGCTGGGGGGAGACAAAGGTCACATAATCAGGAGGGGAGCTGGTATGGTGCTCCCAATGCAAGCTGGGTGTGCTCCCTCAGCCCAGCCTACCTCTCCCACCATTTGCCAGCCCTGTCACCCACCCATCTTTTCCTGAGGGGGGAAAGGAGAGGCTAGAAAAAAGAGACCCTTTCTCCCCTTCTGTGGAGGCAGACACTGGCCTCTGACATGGGCACAGTTTGGGATGGGAGATGTGGTGGGCAGCTCTGGTGCTGGGTTAAGGTTGAGTCAGGGGTCTCAAATGCCAGACCCAGCATCCAGTGAGGGGCCAGGAGCTGAGATGCTGGCAGAGAAGAACACAGCCTCCGTGTCAGCTCCCACCTCACCTGAGAGGTGCAGGGACCCGGATCCCATGCAATCCTGGGCTCGGGGTGGAAGCAGCCCAGGCCCGAGGGAGAGGTGATCCTGTTGGTCTGTGAACCTTCCCATGAAGAGGTTGCATCTGGTGTGCAATCCAGACCAATAGGCACTTACCCCTGTATAGTCATTACAGAGGCACCGTTATGAGTAGTAACAGTGTAGTTGCCCAGCTGAGCAGTTAGCATGTTACCAATCTTTATTTTGGAACATTTCATCTAATAATCCTAAGGCTGGCATTATTTTCCCCACTCAAGAGACGAGGAGCAGTAGGCTCAGGGGGTTTGTTAAGGAATTGCCCTGTGTCCTACGGCTTGTAAGTGACAGATCTAGGTTTTGAACCAAGTCTGTCTGTCTCCAAAGCCTGTGTGTGTGTGTGTGTGTGTGTGTGTGTGTGTGTGTGCTTAAAGATTTTATTGATTCACTTGAGAGAGAGTGAGAGCCAGAGCGAGGCGGAGAAGCAGACTGCCCGCTGAGCAGAAAGCCGGACACGGGGCTCGATCCCAGGACACTGAGATCATGACCTCAGCCACCCAGGCACCCCTAAAACCTGTGTTTTTAATCACAGTGTTTTCCTGCTCCTCATTATACCCATCTGACACCCAGTCCACCTGGAGAGTGGGGCTGGGTCCAGCTGGCAAGTAGACTCCTCACGTAGAAGAGAAGATAGAAGTTCAGAGAAGCTGAATGATTTGCTCAGGGTCACATGGCTGGGGGTGGAGCCAGGATTCCCCCCCCCACCGGCCCCCGCCCCCGGGCATGTCATATAGTCTGGGGAAGGACACAGACCCCATCAGTGAGGGAGAGGACTGAGGAAGGAAGAACAGGGTCTAGAGCTCCTTAGCAGTTGGACCTCCATGTGTCCCTCATGTGTTAAAAGTCTTAAAGTTGTGTGTGGGGCTTCAGCAACAGTAGTTTGACATTAAAGTGCCAAAAGGCAGATTAGGGGACCCAGGAGTTGGGACGGTTTTACAAAGTAGGAAACAGAATCAGAGAGTTTAAATGAATTTGCTCAACATCACACAGCTATCTCCAAAGTCTTTTTACACCACAAGCTACTGGAAGCTCTTAAGGACAAATGTTTTCGCTAGCCCTTCCTCTAAACTTCCCTCTTTCCTTCCAGACTCTTAGCACATCATCTCCTTGTGGGAGCTACCCTGATTGCCTTCACTTCCTTCCTGAAAACTGGTGTCTGGGCAGAAGTTAACTGAAGCCTCGTGTAAATGCCCTAGGGGTGTGCTGTTGAGAGGGGCACAGCCCCCTGTGATGTGGAACACCACTCTCAGACTCATCAGTTCGGTGAGTTTGGGTTTTCTTCAAAGTGGGGAGGAAGCACCAGCTAGATGATGTGGGACCTGAGAGTTAGGAGACTTGAATCAGAGCTCTGGTTTTGTCACCAACGTTCTATGTGACCCTGGGTGTGTCTCTTTCCCATCCTGGGCCTTGAGGTCCCACTCTGCAAGATGAAAGACTCAGGCTGGAATAGGGATGGCAAATCTATTTTTAATTATGAGCCAGTTCTCACCAATTAGTTGAGAGGGATTCTGAGGTTAAATCTGGCCTTGATGGGAAAGAAATGGATTAGTGATGTCTGTTGTGGGTGGACCTACCGTCACCCTGTGACAGATTCCTTGCTGTCTCCTGTTGAAAGGGTGGGTGGCTGGGTTTATCTTGGGCTTTCTGATCGCCTCATTGACGCTCAAAAAAAGGCTCATGATCTGATTAGACACATCGTCAAAGGGACCAAGGGGCCTGGGTAGCCTGGCAGCGCCCTGAGACCCCTGTTGTCAGGATTCAAGAGATGGTTTGGAGAGCCCTTAGTGTACTAAGACTCCAGGGTGGAGGCCAAATATCCATGGCTGGAAAGAAAACGCTAGCCTCCTTCCTTGAGGAGCTTGGAAGGTCTCTGCTGGCATGGAGCTTTGGCAGGAGTGGGGACAGTAGTCCTTGTTCCTGGACAGGAAATCCAAGCCATAGTAGTAGATGCTGCTGTGGTAGTAGTGGATGGGAGTCGGCTGAGAGAACTCCAGAGTGAGGTCCCTGTGACCTGGCAAGGGAGGGTTCCAGGGAGGGACGGGCTCACACCTTTGGGTGAGCTCTGGGTTGAAGGAGCAGGAGCTGCTGAGCATGTGTGCATCTTTTTTTTTTTTAAGATTTTATTTATTTATTTTGAGAGAGAGCATGAGTGGGGGGGCGGGGCAGAGGCAGAGGAAGAGAGAGAATCTCAAGCAGACTCCCTGCTGTGGAGCCCAAGGACAGGGGGCTGGATCCCACAACCCTGAGATCATGACCTAAGGCAAAATCCGGAATAGGACACTTAACCGACTGAGCCACCGAGGAACCCCTATGTCTGCATCTTTGTGGGAAAAGGAGAGCTGGGTTCGAGTCCAGGTGTTGCCATTTCTTAGCTGAGTAGGATGGGCAAGGCCTTGACTTTTCGGAGACTCAAAGTTTCTCATCTGTGACATGGAGATTACCACACACCTAACAGAAATACTTCAACGAGTAAATTAGGCTTATACTGTAAGCCCTCCCCCACCATCCACCAAAAGACCATGCAGATACCTCAAAAAACACACAAACTCACACTAGATTTGGAAACTAAAGAGAAGAGATCATCATAGGCCCAAGTCCAGGGGGCTTTCCATTAGCTGCAAGGTTAATGGGGGATGGATGGAGAAATAGAATCTGGGACTCTGCACATATCACGGGGTGAGCAAAAACAGCCCAGACAACCACAAAGGAGGGAGAACACAGCTTTGACTCATCCCCACTGTCAGCCCCAATTTGCCTGGTTGGCAGGAGCCGCACTGACCAGGAGGCCAAGCAGCTACCATTCGCAGCTATCTGGGGACTGAATCCTCTAGAGTGGCCCCTTCCCTTCTCCCTCATTCTCCTCCACCCACACACACACTTCAACTCTGTCCTTTTGAAGTCAGATACCCTCAGGGTGACAGGCCTGAGGGCAGATGGTCAAGCAGAGTGACCCGAGCCCTGGGATGCGGAGCCGCCCTGGTAAGAGCTCTGTAGCTGGGGACAGAGCTGGGAAGGGCTATAGGCAGAGCCTGCCAGAGCACCACTTTTCCTATACTCTGAGCGGAGGACACCCACTGCTGTATTGGACTTTGAGCCAAGATGTAGAGGCCGACAACTGGAGATCCCGCCTCTGTACAAAACCAAGCCATAGACGCTTGCTGCCCTGCTTCCTTGCTCCCCCGAAGTGGCTCCCAATGCCCTCTTTCTTCCCTTGTGCTCATCAGATTTAATATTTAATTACATAATCAGTGACTTACTGTCTGTCTCTCCTCCTGGACTGGAGGCTCTGGGAGGGCAGGACCACGTTGGCCTGGCTCACTGCCATATCCTTGGCATTCAGCCTACGTCCTGGAATTTTAGGGGCTTAAATATTCGTTGAATGCAGCTTTGGAAGGAATTTGGCAATATCTTCCAAGAATCAAAGAAATGTTTATGTCCTCGGTATCAGGTGGGATGCTTTGGGATGTAACGAAGAACACTGATTCAAACTGGCGTAAGCACATTATCTGCATAACTGGATAGGCCAGAAAAAGGCAGGCTCTGGCATGGCCTGAGGTCCTTTCCTTTGTTCTGTGGCACTCAGCGACACTGGCTTCCTCCTAGGACTCGGCCCTCCCTAGGGGGAAGGGTCTTGAGGGAAGAAGTGGGGGAGGGAGACCCCACCTCTCCGAAAAGCATGGAATCCAAATCTTCCCCTTAAGTCACTTGGGGCCAACTGAATCATAGGCCTGCCCTCGGACCAGTACTAGTTACCAAGGTGAGTGCCACTCATTGATTGGCTTGAGCTAATCTGGATCTACCTCCGAAATGGGATGGGTGGTACCTGACAAAACCAGCACTCTGCCAGGAAGCAGGAAGGGAGAGTGGACGTTGGGGAGGCTCCCAGCAGTCTCCACACCCAGCCCAGTCACTCTGTTTCTGGGAATCAATCCTAAGGAAAGAAGCAGATCAAAGCAGTGCAGAAACATGTTTATTGCAGGGTTGTTTAAAAGGCAGGAGAGAGGGCACCTGGGTGGCTCAGTTGGTTAAGCGACTGCCTTCAGCTCAGGTCATAATCCTGGAGCCCCGGGATCAAGTCCCACATCGGGCTCCCTGCTCAGCAGGGAGTCTGCTTCTCCCTCTGACCCTCTTCCCTCTCGTGCTCTCTGTCTCTCATTCTCTCTTTCTCAAATAAATAAATAAAATCTTTAAAAAAAATAAAAGGCAGGAGAGAGAGGAAGAAGTCGGACCTGATCTAAGAGGTCACTGCATTGAAATAGTTAAGTCCATTATGCTACCACCATACAATGGAATATTATGGTGGTGTTAAAACATGTATACCATATATTAAAACATGCTAATGACATTGGGAAATGCTCATGATCTGATGTTAAATGAAAAACACCAGGATCGGGGCGCCTGGGTGGCTCAGATGGTTAAGCGTCTGCCTTCGGCTTGGGTCATAATCCCAGGGTCCTGGGATCGAGCCCCACATCAGGCTCCTGGCTCAGTGAGGAGCCTGCTTCTCCCTCTGCCTCTCTCCCTGCTCATGCTTTCTCTCTCTCTGTATCTCTGTGTCTCAAATGAATAAATAAAATCTTAAAAAAAAAAAAAGAAAGAAAAAGAAAAACACCAGGATGTAAAATTGTATTTGCAGTATGAGTTCAATTATTTTTTAAAATGCATAGATAGGAAAGACCCTGGGAGGGAAAAGGGTTAAAACACCTCCAGAGGCTGCCACTCTGTGGTATGCTTCAGGGTGACTCATGCCTGCTCCTTTATACTTCTCTGTGCTGTCCCCTTTAGCAGGAGGTCCCCTTCAGTCGTCCCCCAAGGCTGGGGCCACTTTTGCTCTCCCTGTTCTTATTATTGGCTGTGAAAGTAATCACACCTACTGAATATTTACTCCATGCCTGACACCGTTCTAGGCGCCTTCACATGCTCTAATTTAATCCTTACAACAATCCCGTGAGGTAAGTGCTTTTATTTCTCATTTTGCTGAGGTGTTCACTGAAGCCCCAAGGTGCTTGGTCACAAGATCACACAGCCAGTGTGTAGAGGCCTTTGGAATTCAAGAGTGGGCCGAACGACTCCACAGCGTCTGCCTTGACTCCCAAACCAGGTCACTTGCCAGGACAGCCATATGCTCATAAGAATGGTACCATTTATTGAGCCAGACGCTGGGTACACTCTTTACCTTTATTTATTCATTTAATCCTCACAGCCTCAGAGAGGCCAAGTGACTGACCCAAGGTTACACAGCTAGGAAGCGGTGGGCTACAGTAGAGTGGCTCCAGGGCCTGATGTGGGACCCCATTGTCTCCTGCTCTCCCCTACAGGGTTGCCTGAGGCCTTGCCGCCCCTCGGACCATGTTTAACGGGGAGCCGGGTCCGGCCTCGGCCGCGGCCTCCAGGAATGTGGTTCGGAGCTCCAGCATCAGTGGTGAAATCTGCGGCCCCCAGCAGGCTGGGGGTGGGACCGGGACCACCACGGCCAAGAAGCGGCGCAGCAGCCTTGGGGCCAAGATGGTGGCCATCGTGGGCCTGACCCAGTGGAGCAAGAGCACGCTGCAGCTGCCCCCGTCTGGTGAGAGGGCATGGGACTCGGAGGGCCTGGGTTGCGGCACCCTGCCATGACAGGGCACCCAGGGAAGGTCGTCACACCCACAGATACTTCTAGAGCACGTACCAAATACCACGTGCTGTTCTGGGTCCAGTCCCTGTCCTGACTCATGGAATCCCTGCAAACTCCATGAGGCAGATACAAAAGCACAGAGAATGGGGAGTAAGATGCCCCAAACTACATAGCTAGTGGGCTGGTGGAGCCTGAATTCAAAGCCCAGCAGCCAGGCTTCTGGGTTCATGCTCCCTAAACTTTACACTCCTGTCTCCATGCACAGACTTACACATTCATCATCGATGCTTTATGAACCAGCCGTCGTATTCCTGGCTCTGTGACAAGTGACACAACTTCACAGACACACTTCCACAGGATTCAGGCTCACCTGTGTTCTCTGAGTTTCCCAAGTGCAAACAGCCACCCGAATGTAGTTACAGTTACGCATATACGTTCCAAGTCACAAGAGAGACACACCTTGCGTAGTCACATAAACAGTGTGCCCTGTTGCTCAGGTGAGCCACCCCTACTGCCAGGAAAGCATAGTACAGCCATTCACACTGTTCGTGGTCACAATAAAGCCAGTCGTGCAAATCGCAGCCCTCTGCGCACTAATGCACAGACCCAGAGCATAGTTACACACACGCACACAATGGCCCATGGTCACAGAAGCATGCTGCACTCCTATGTGCACATACCCCGTGAATCCAGATTCACACACACCTTAACAGCTACATCTGGAAAAGTGTATTTTCTCAGACACCTAGTTTTGGAATGCCAGTTTTGCTCAGACTGGTGGGTGACCCACTTTGTCACACACAGTCACACGGGACCCCACATCACAAAAGAGCCAGCCTCCCCCCCAAGACCTCCTCACTTTGTGGCATCAGCCCAGACACCAGCTGGTTTTGTTTTAAAATCTCTTCCTCCTTATTTTGTTCAGAGTAACAACTTCCCCAGGAAACCTTCAAATAGGGCAGCTGGATGGGGGCGGTGAGGGGGTGGGGGCACCAGAGGATCTAGAGAGAATGCTCCTCAAGACTCCCAGTTGGGGCTGAGGGTGGGAGACTTTTTCCAGGCCTTAAAATAGATTTTTACAAAGCCCTTCCTTCACGGGAGCACGTGAGATGGTCTTTTCCAGCTATCAAGCTGCGATGTGGTTTCTGGCTCAGGGAAACGCTGGATGGGGAGGGGGCTGGAGGTTTTCTGTGCCCCAGGATGGGCATGGCCTCTGTAAGTGTGCAATTTAGGCCCGGTACTAGGGAGTCAGGGAGATAATGAATCCAGGAGTTGGGCTGGTACAGGACCAAGGGGTGAGATTAAGCTTTGGAGATTAAGATTAGGTTGAGGAGGTATTGGACCCCAGGAGTGTGGCTTCAGGAGTCTAAACCCTGCTAATCTCCAGCTGAATCTACCCGGTTCAGCTTCAGACCCAAAGGCTTCTTCATGCCCAAGCGATTTGGACAGTCTTCCAAGGCCCAGGCTGGGACCTGAGTCACTGGGAGACATTCTGGTGGTCGGCCTGGGGCTGTCCACTTACCCAGACTCCACAGTCAGCAGGCAGGGATTGGAGTAGACACCAAGAAGACCTGAAGCCTCAAGGGGAGATGAATGACGATAGGGCTTCAGGATCATTTATCTCCATAGTATGCAAGGGTACAACTGAAGGCCTGGGGCCTGAGCCAGGTGAACGGCCCAGATGCCCTTTTAACTGAAAGTCTCTGTGAATGTGAGAGCAGGGAGGGCCCCTTGGGATCATCTAGTCCGATATACTCATTTTACTGATGAGTCGTCTGAGCCTGGAGAGGAGAAGGCACTTTCCTGGAGAACAACTTCAAGTTGGCCTTCCAAGCCACACCCTGTCATTTGCTAGTTGGGTGACTCAGGCAAGTTATTTTACTTCTCTGAGTCTGCTTCCTTGATTGTGGAATAAGGACAGTGATACTTGCCTTGCAGAGTTGTCCAGGGAATTACATGAGATAGGATATGCAAAGGCACCCAGCCTCATGCCTGGCCCGTAGTAGATACTTAGTAAATTGTCAGTGTTATTATTGGCCATGGTCACACGGTAGGACCAAATAAGAAGTGAGTTCTCTAGCCCCCACAGCTCTGCCCCCTTGCTTATAGCATACACCTCTCCCCAGCCTTGAGGTTGCCAGTGTCCTAGCTTGGAGCCCCATCCTGGGTAGGAGAGTCTGGCCCCAGAGGGATGTATGGGCTGACTCACCATGGGCACTGGCCTGGGAAACTCTGTTCTGAGAAAAGATCCTAGCAGGGTGTTCCTGCTGTCCCCAGATGGGATGGCTCAGTTCCCTGCTAGAATCCCTGCAGGGCTGGGCTGTGTGAAGTTGGGACCCAATCTTCTGAGCTCTAGGTCTGCCCCTCTAGGGGCTTCCTTCCTCATGGTCTGTCCATACTCTGTATTGGCTCCAGCCCCACCCATCTCCTCCTCTTTGTTTCAAAGCCTCTGTCCTAGTTCAGGCCGTGTGATATCTAGCCTGGACTATTGCCCCAGCCTCCTCTCTAGTTCCCCTGCCTCATGCCTGCCCCTTCCAGTTTATTCCTCACATTTAACTCAAGTGGCCTTCTAGAAACTCACCCTGAAACTTTAGAGTTTAGTTCTAGCTCTTTAACTCCCCATGGGACCTTGGGAAAGTCATATTCTCTCTGGGTCTCAATTTCTTCTTCTGTAAAATGTAGCTATAAAGACAGTCTTTGTCTCCCAGCTTCCTTCTAGATCTAACATTCTCTAAGTTGTAGGAGCAATGATGAGGGTAGGGTCAGAGCTTTAGCATCCCAGGAAATAGGTAGGTTCTGGCCTGGCCTTAGGCTGGGCCATTCTAGCCTCTGCCCAAATGAAGCTCCTCATTTCAGTACCAGGGACAGCAGCCCTTCCCACCTGGGCTCTGGACTCTGGGCTCTGGGGAGAGGGTTCAGGACCATTCCAGGAGATGCCATGGGCAGTGCCGCTGAAGGCTCTGCCTCTCCCTTGTATGTGGTGGGACAGATGAGATGGTTCCTGGAGTCTTTCAGTCTCCAGGCACCACAGAATTATTGCAAGCAACTTGGCCCCGTTCTTTAGAGAGAGAGAGAGAGAGAGAGGGTCTACATAAAGTTACTCCCAGACCAACAAAGTTCAGACTGGACAAGAATGAAACCAATAGATGAATTTTCTCTGAAGCTGCAAGAACTTTCTCCCCACCCAGAAGATATGGAACTTAATATCTGCTGAATCACTTCTCAAACCAATGTGGACTTGATGGAGAGGAGTGAAAAGTAGGCCGTCAGTAGACCAGGAGAGTGTGGGCCTGGGGTCTGACCCCAGCCCTGTGAGCACATGAACCTCAGGCTCCCCATCTGTGAGATGGCAGTGGGGGGCTAGCGAGGTGTCTCTAATACTCCAGGATTCTGTGACACCCCTACCCAGGGGCTCACAGTGCATTGGGTAGGTCAAAGAAGGTAAATTTTCTCCCAAGTGGGTCTAGGAGAGGAGGGTTGGGGCCATGGAGTGGTGAGGCTCTGGCTTCAGCTCAGAGTGTGTGTTGTCGGGGGAGGGGAGATATGGGGGAGGGTAAAGTGCAGCTCCCACAGACCCATCTGTCTCCTAACTGGGTTAGAGGGGATGTGGCAGTTAGGAGCCAGGGATAGGGTGAGCCCCCTATGCCCACCATCATTGCCCAGTCCTCTGTGTGGTGGGTTACACGCTGTTTGTGAGTTTGTATCTCTGTGTGTGATCGAGTGGAGGGGTTCAATCAGGTATTATGGTGTGACGGTCACATGTATGTGGCAGTGTGTCATGTGTATGTGTGACTAAGACCTAGTAGGACTGTTTGTGACTGTGTGCCCATTATATGAATACACAAGACCTGGTGTGGGAGATCGCTGTACTCGTATATGTGATTGTTAGCACTCATGTGTGTCTGCTTATGCCTGTGTGAAAGAAACACGTATCAGCTAAAGTGATTCTGTGTGTGTTTGAGAGAGAGAGACAGAGAGAGAGAGAGAGGCAGACTGATAGACATATCAGTGGTCTCCTTGACTTGTGGATAGCAGCTATTCCAATATCCCAGAAGCTGGGCTGGCCTCAGAGAAGACATTCCTCCCACCACCGGCCCATCCCCACTCCAAGTCCCCCCATCCCATCCATTGGTGACGCCGGCCCTCTCAGCCTTCCTCCCCCCCTGGTGGGACTTCCTGAAATGTACGTAGGATGAAGCAGGGAGAACGAAGACCCCCCTTTTCTCAGGCTGGCATTTTGAGCAATGTCTCCCCAACCCACCATTTGAGTGTGGCCCGGAGAGGGGGTTGCCAGCATAACCAGCTCCCCCCTCCCCACTGCTTTTGGAGGCTGTGCTGCCAGCCCCCCTCCCAGCCTCCTCAGCCCTGGTGGCAATTCCACTCTTAATTTGCCCAGGCCTCTAACCAGTGGCTCCTTTGGCACAGTCCTTATGTGATGCCACCTTCCCTTCCTATCAAGCTCTTCAGGCAGTGCAGCTTCAGCAGGGGCAGGCCTACAAACCTTCAATTCAACCTGTCTTCTGCTGCCCCCACCCCCAGGAGGAGAGGGTGTCTAGGGGGACCTCGCTGCAATGCTGAGGAGGTTGCCATGGAAACCCAGGCAGGATGGTGTGCTGCTAGGAGAGGCAAAGTGCCCCATGTTCCCTGCAAGGCTCAAGAGGGGGGCTGGGGTGAGGGTAGAGGGCCCTCCAAACAAGAGGTACAGAGACACGGAGTGAGTTCTCACCACATGGTTTCCGGGGTTCTTCTGCAGACCGCTCTCTCAAAGCCAAGGTCAGTTCAGGTCAACCTAGTGGTCTTTCTCAGTCTTGCTTCCCTAATGGCCTCTGCACCCCTCCACACACATCCCCCCTCCACATTCAGACCCACCTTGAGAATGCAGGTTAGTTTGAGAGTGGCCAAGCTTCCCATGGGGGTTTTATTTGGCCTATGAAGGTATCACAGAGGTGGAGCGTGAGGTCCGGGTGTGATAGGGTTCATGAGGGTACCTGGAAGAGGGAAAGCAAATCTGGGAATGCCAGAGAAAGCAACCTTTCCACAAGAGAAAGGAACACTTTCTCCATTTGGGGCAAAGGCTGGAATTGAGTTGGGAAGGTGGCCATCAGGGAGCCTGGCAGGGATGAAGGTGAACGCTGCAGGGCTGGGCTGCACCTGGTGACTTCCCATCCCACAGGCCCACCATCGTGACTCTCTGCCTCCAGCCATCTTTCTCGTCTTCGTCCCTGTCACTGTGCAGACTGGCTCAGCAGCGCCCCTGCCTCCAGTCAGAGCCCTGCCTGTCCTGCCTCATCCCAAGAGGTGACCTTGGCAGCACTCCCACAGAAGCCTCATCACTGATCTGACCTTGTTCCCTTTCTGTGTTTTCGGGAGTCCCAGAAGGGGCCACCAAGAAGCTGCGCAGCAACATCCGGCGGAGCACAGAGACGGGCATCGCGGTGGAGATGCGGAGTCGGGTCACACGCCAGGGCAGCCGGGAGTCCACAGATGGGAGCACCAACAGCAACAGCTCCGAGGGCACGTGCGTGCAGCCCATGTCCACTCTGGTCCCCACCTTCCCGCATGGTCCTCTAGTCCCAGAGTCGGGGGGCAGGGCGGGGAAATCTTTCCGGCTGGGTTTCGGGTCCAGATGTCTGGGTTCCTCTGCATCCCTGCCTTCCGTGGACATCCGCTGCCTGCGCCCCAGTCTTCCTCTTGCTCCGGGCTGCTGTTTCCCATCCAAACCCCCCAGCGGCCCCAGGGGCAGTGCATCCCATGTGTATGTTTCATGCCTCCCAGCCCCCAGCACCTACACACTGCCCTCAGACGAGAGGGCTCCGGAGGAAAATGTGGACCCAGAATCCTTTTCGATCTGAAACCATTGTTACGGCTCAGATGAATGGAGTTCTCACAAGTGGTCTTGCATGGAGCTGAGAGAAGGAGGTTGGACTGGATCGGTGTTTTTCAAACTGTGGTTTGTGACTCAGGCAGGAAGTAAAATCAGTTTAGTGGGTCAAAACCAGCATTAGGGAAAGAAATAGAAATTTCAAACATATCCTGTGGTGTGAGGATGAATTACCTTGTGAACTTTTGTTTTGGTTTTTTAATATATGGATGCACAGAGGTCTATGATGTTAAATGTATTTTTTCCATTGCATGGGAGCTGCAGTCAAAAATTCAAAAGTCACTAGGTTAGATATTCCCTTGGTCGCTCCCAAATCTATGAAGCTGGTTATACGACTAAGATTTTCTGGTTCGGCTTCATCAAGGTCCATTGATAGCAGGGCCCTGTGGCTCTATTACTTAGGATTCTATGATCGTGTGTCTCATTACTGTGCCCACTTCCATGAATGCAAATGGCCAGGGGCATTTACTGCATATGCAGGGCGTCACTAGGCACTTCAGATGGGTGCTTCTTACTCTGGGATCTACCAGTCACCACCAGACCAAAAACAGGTGTCTCATTTAACACTGAGGGATGTCGGTACTACCATGATCTCCATGTTCCATGTGGAGAGACTGAGGCATGGGAGGAGAGTGACGTACCCACCCAAGGTCACAGCTGTTCAGTGGTGGTGGAGTCAGGGTTTGAATTAAGGCCATTTGACTCTATAGCCTTTGTTCACAACCTCTACACTCTCTAGACCAAGCTCCTAAAATTCTGTGACCTTGAGAGTCCGTGACCTTATTTAACCTTCTCAGGTTTTCTTCAGAGTGCAGGCTGGGGTTATTGCTGATGGCCAGTAAGAGTGGGTGGGCCTCGAAGCCCCTTCCCACAGAGTGGAGGCCAGCCTTGTTGGGGAAATTCAGGCCCTCTTTGACAAGTGTATGCAACCCATCTTTCTCCCTGCCTGTCGCTGGCCATAGGGGACTCAAAGCCCAACTTTCCAAGTGGGGAGTCATTCTGGGACAGTCTGATCTCTCAGGCCAGATACCTGGGCTATTCTAGGAGGTCTTAGAACTTTGTTCCATTGTAGCCCCCCCGAGCAGAGCTGGGTCCGCCCTCCCCCATTGGTCCTTTCTCTGCTGGCCACCCCCAGAACATGTACCTTGAGCGCAAAGGGGGGGGCACTGCCCTCGATGTTCACAGCAGCAACATCATAACTACCATTTTATTGTGTCCTGCTTGTCTGGAACGTTTCATGCACCAGCTGCCCCAATCGCCACCATAACCCTGCAAGGTGGGCATCGCATCACTGTTTTACAGTCAAGGCAAGTCTCTTACCTCTCGAAGCCTCTGTTTTCTCATCTGTAAGACCAGCGTAGCTCCCGCTGCACAGAATGGCAGGAATGAACTCAGACGCATGAGGAGCATTTGGTGCGCTGCTGGCGCCTGCCCAGCTCTCGATCACTATCAGTGTTGCTCGCTACTGTTTCCAGGCCCCACAACCAGGGACCACCCACCATCGCTCGCCTTTTATCTCAACCCTGCAATTGTGTTATTTTGGTCTCGGTTGCTGTTTTGGGCACCACCTCACGTTATCGACTTGGATTCCAAACATATGGTCAACTAAACCTCAGTTCTTAGAACTTGCTCCAGGCATCGAAATTTCTGGCCTATGTTTCTGGTTCTTGGCACTCGTATCCCCAGGGGAGGACACAGGTGTCGAGCAAACCCTGCCTTTTAAGGGTCACCTTCGAAAATCCTGGTGCTTGAGGATTAGATAACATTATTATGTTTACTGTTTCTCCAGGGACATCAGAGTTTTTTTATTTAACGTGCAGAGATGAAGAGTTCTGTTTGTCCCCAGCTGAAGCAGGGCACTCGTGCTATGGAGAGGGGAAACTGAGGCACAGAGAGGCATGGCCCAGTGTCCACGGGGTGGAGCCACTGCATCTCACCATCCAGGCCACCTCATGTGCCCCTCTGCATCTTCCTCCAGGTTCATTTTCCCCACCACTCGGCTTGGGGCTGAAAGCCAGTTCAGTGATTTCCTGGATGGGCTGGGGCCAGCCCAGATTGTGGGGCGACAGACATTGGCGACGCCACCAATGGGTGAGTCTTCCTGAGAGCCGAGCGAGTGGGGTGATGGCAGCCACGCCACGGAAGGGGTGAGCTCCGTGGGGGCCCCCTGCGACACAGGGCTAGCTGCAGAGAGGAGCCCTCACTCTGGCCTTTGTGCCAGCCAGAAGGAATTGGCCGGGCCCTCCGAGGTCCCTCCCTCTTCGGAGAGGACAGGGGTTCCAGCGTTGCTCTGCGGGCTACCCCGCAGCGGCTTTACAGCACGGACCGCCCTCACCACACGCCCACCACCAGCTGCACGCCTGGCAGTGCCAAACGCCTGCTCAGTGTAGACAGTGAACCAGAGGTGTCACAGCTTTGATGTTCAGGGAGTCTGTGCTACCCCTGGTGCTCTGTGTGACCTTGGGCAGCTCACTCCCTTTCTTTGAGCCTCCGTTTCCTCATCTGTAAAATGGGAATAAGAATCCCTGCCTTAGTTCCGCAATCTAACAACAGTTCATCGAGTTCCTCTTCTATGCTTTGAATGAAGTGTTTTACTCCTGAGGACCTGTGTCTTATTGGACTTGTTACTTCTACCTGCCTGGCACCTAAAAGCCTTTCAAATAATTTTCTCATCCCCGTTCCCCGCAGCTGGGACCTATTTCCTGGGTCTCCCCTCGGTCTTCTCCGCTGCACTTCTGGCTCCCTCCCGCCTCCCTCCCTCTCTCCCTCTGTCTTAGATACTGGTTGTGTTGGCTCTGGGGGCGCCTCCCAGGGGCTTGCTTCCCCAGAGATGCCCCCTTGCCTCTCCCCCTTCCCCATCAGTCCGACCTGAGCAGTCTGCCCCCAGGCATCTGGACTCAGTCCTCATTGGAACAGTGTTCGACCTTCGACCTCACAGCACATGAGGAAGCGGGCACCGTGCCCTGCTGCGAGCCCTGCACTGGAGCTGGGTTTCTCTCCCAGGCCAGTGCTCTTCCCACTGCACTGCTTCGGTTTTCTCAGACGTGCTTCCACAGGAACCTTTGTCCGCGGGGACCCTCAGAGGGTGAGCATCAGCTCTCCTCTGGCCCTGGGGTAGGATTTGGCTAATTCTCAGCCCTTGCTCACAGGCTCTTAAGGGCCTGAGGAGTCTGCTTTTCCCAGCCCTAGGCCCAGCCAGGGACTGGGAGGCAGTGAGAGGAGCCAGCCACCTCCACAAGGCTGTTGGGCTTTCCCAGCCTAGAACACTTGTGTGTGGTGCCTCCTGGTGTCTAGAAGTGGGAAGGACAGGCTTGCCTTTGCTCAACTCCTTAGGGATGTTAGAGTGAGACCTCCCCCCTTCCCTCCCCAAGGGGAGGTCAGAAATAGCTAGAGGGAGGGTGATGACTTCCAGGATGTTTCCTGAAAGTAATAAATCCCCATCTTCCCAAGTATGCAAATACAAACAACTGCATGATAGCTCAGAGTATCTAAAATGGGTGGCTGAACCCAAAGTCTGGCCAATTTTAATTTCTCTGCATCAGGCTTATGATGCTGCATTCCTTTGAAGAATGCTCCAAGTGACTAATGCATAATCTCAAATTCCGCTAACTGATGTTGAACGAAGCTAAGAGTTCTAGAAATAACTGACATGACTTCATACAGAACTTGCCTCAGTGAGGTAATTGTTTGTGGGAGCGCAGGGAGAAGTTCTCAGTTCTCTGCTTCCAGGAGATCCGGCCTTCCCTGCATCCTTTGGCCGGGGTGCGAACGGGCCCCAATTCCCAGGCAATGCCTCCTGTCCTGCGCAGGCTCCTATCTCGGCATCTTTTCAAAAGGAGAGTCTGTAAATATTTGGGGAGTGGCCGAGGGCTGCTATTCTGCTCAGTAAGACGGGAGCCCCCCAGTTCACTGGGACTTACTGGGAGTTTGGCAGCCTTTCGTTGCTACCCAAGCATGCCCCTTGAGGGTCATGCCTCTGCCCTTGCCCCAGGGGACCTATCAAAGTATTTCTCCCCTGCTTTCAAGTGGCCTCTGGAGAGCCGTTCTGGCGCAAGCAGTCTTCTGCATGTTATGCCCTTTCCAGCACTGTAGCGCCCTCTGCAGACTGTGCTCTGCACAGCAGCTGGCCGGCCCACCCCAGCTCTGCCTCTGCCTGGACGGTTCCTTTTCTCCCTTGCAGGGGACGTGCACATTGCCATCATGGACCGCAGTGGCCAGCTAGAGGTGGAAGTGATTGAGGCTCGGGGCCTGACCCCCAAACCAGGCTCCAAATCCCTCCCAGGTGAGGCCAAGCAGCGGGGAGAGGGGTTTTGGATACGGGGTCCTGCCAGGCAGGGGTGCGCAACTGAGCTCTGGGTCTAGCGTGTCCCCAGCTGCCCGTTGGCCTAGATCAGTGTTCTTGACCCTGGAGTCATGACTGGCCCGGAAGGCCAGTGGACAGGGTTGGGGGGAGGGGAGGATGGACAAGTCAGTGTTTGAGCCCGTCTTTTCTACTGCTCTCCACTGGTCAGCTCATCCCACTCACCTTGCTCACCTCCGGGAGCAGCAGGACGTTAGGGGATGGAGCAGGCCATAGCAGTCTCTCCTGGACCCCTCCCCAGCATGCTTTCTCCCATCCCTCAGCCACCTATATCAAGGTTTACCTGCTTGAGAACGGGGCCTGCTTGACCAAAAAGAAGACAAAGGTGGCCAAGAAGACCTGTGACCCCCTGTACCAGCAGGCTCTGCTCTTCGACGAGGGGCCCCAGGGCAAGGTGCTGCAGGTGAGTGCTACGGGGCCCCTGGGGCAGGACGACTCCCCAAAACTGCAAGTTGTAATTTAAAATCTCTTTCATGTATGATGCGTCCTGTGCCAGGCACTGTACCAGGTGCATTAATGCACATGACCCGTTTGTTTTCACAGCCCAGTGAGGGCTTTTTGCCCCTGGTTGATTTGTAAGGAAACCAGAGTTCAGGGGGATAAGTCCACTGCCCCCCCCAACCCCAGGTTGCTCAGCTTGTAGGTAGAAGCAGCGTTTGACCACCGCCTTCTCTTTCCGCCTGGTGCTAATGCTTACTGCGCATCAGCTCCATGCCAGGCTCTGGGCGAAGGGCTTTCCAATCCTGACCTCCTTTCAGCCTCCAGATGATGCTGTGAAGTAGGTATGTTCTCCCCATCTTGCAGTCTCAGAAAGGTGAAGTGACTCACTTGAGGTTTCAGCTAGCGACTTGCAGAGCCCAGGTGACCCAGGCCAAGGTGACGCCACCCCACCTCCGAGAGAGTGCAGTGCCCTTCACGACAGTCCCGCGAGGGAGGGATCATCACGCCCATTCACAGATGAAGCACCTGAGGTGCTTAGCAAGAAGCTAAGTGGGGGCTGGTCTCTGGGTTCAGTCCTGGGTTCAAGTTCCAGCTCCATCATGGTCCGTGGGCGGTGTGCTGTGAAGCGTAAATGAGGGATGCACGTGGAGGGCCTCACCGAGTGCCTGGCCCATAGACAGCTGCTCTCGGAGTATTAGTGGTGGTTGTGGCTGGTGGCCTTGCCTGAGGCCACATGGGTGGCAGAGGAGAGGCCTGAGCCAGGGGCTGTCTGGGCTGTGTAACTACTCATCTGGGGCTGTTCCTTGTGGGCTGAGGTGGTTGCGTGGCAAGGGCCCCTGGGGTCGCAAAGGGCCAGGACTGCAGAACCCTGGGGTTCTGTGGGGGTAGGGAAGATCCTGGGTGTCTGTTTTCATGTATATATACATATATATTGGGATTCCATTTTGAGAAAAGGATCCACTGATAAAAATACAAGTTTGAAAATCACTGGGCTAATCTCTTCCCCTCTTCCAGTTTTCTGGATGGGAACACTGAGGTCCAATGAGGGCCAGGGGTCTCCCCAAGCTCCGCCATTAGCCAGCAGCAGACTAGGAGCTGTGACTCAGGTCCCAGACTCTTTCAGTCTGCTTCTTAATGGGGAAGGCTGCCATCTGGGATGCTGGGAGGCTCTGGAAGTCAGACCCAGGTTCTGATCCCAGCTCTGCCACCAATTACTGTGTATCTTTGGGTTAATTAACCTCTCTGAGCTGTTGTTGCCTCTTTGTTGAAATGATGATACGTAGCACCTTTACCTGGATGGTTGTAATGGTTGAGATAATGGAGAGAAGTCTGTACGATGGAGGCTGGCACGTCTTCAGTGCTCAGTAAGCTGTTGCCCCCAAATCAGTCTTGGTTCCGGCTCTTTCTGCCTCATCTGTGCTTTGGTGAGACTTGCAGGTTCCTGGGTCCACTACTGAGCCCTGAAGTCGGGGAGTTGGCTCAGCGCCCCCCGTTTCCCACTCCCTCCCCCGCAGGTGATTGTTTGGGGAGACTACGGCCGCATGGACCACAAATGCTTCATGGGCATGGCCCAGATCATGCTGGACGAGCTGGACCTGAGTGCCGCGGTCACGGGCTGGTACAAACTCTTCCCCACGTCCTCAGTGGCAGACTCTACACTTGGATCCCTCACCAGGCGCCTGTCCCAGTCCTCCCTGGAGAGTGCCACCAGCCCCTCGTGTTCCTAAGGACCTCAGAAGAGGCCGGGATGCAGTGTGGGAAGGGGCGCCTGATGCCCCCTCCCCGCCCCCTGTACATAGTCTTCGTGTCTCTCTGGACCCCTTGCCCTGCTGCATGCCCGTCGGCTACTGGGCCCACCCCAACTGGCAGCGGAGACTAGTGTGTGCGTGCGTGTCTGTGTGTGTGTGTGATCATGTTCTATCTGTTCACGTGTCTGGGTATAGCCAGTCTTGGTGACTACATGAGCTAAAATCCACATCTCTCTGTGTCTTGTTGAAAAGAAACCCAAAGGAGTGTTGTGTGGGCGCGGATCCCCGAGTGCAGGGGCAGAAGCGGGGGATGTGGCCACCCATCCACCCTGCCTGGTCCTGTGCCCGGGGCAGAGCCCACGTGTCCCTGTCCGGGCCGCCTCTTGCTGGTCCCTGCTTAGTTTTCTGTCTCGTCCTTTGTCCCACCTGTGCTTCTCCCAGCACCGCTGCTCTATTTTGAGGAATGTAGCACCCACCGCAGCTGGCCACACTGAGGCCCCTCGGGGACCCGACACCCTCCTCCCCACCGAGTGCTCTGGCAGCTCTTCCTACTGAATGCACCTGCAGCATGTCGCATGCTCATCTAGTGCCCTGGCCGGGGGCCGGGGGAGCAGAACATGCCTGGGAAGCTGAGGGCTTGGAGATCGTCTCCTCCCTTCGGCAGGAGCCGCCTCCTTCCTACAAGCGGAACACTAGGAAGACTTAGCCCCCAGGGTGGCTGGCCAGGCCCCTTAGAGGGAAGTGCGGGCACCTCCCTTAGCGTTGTTCTTCACCTCCTGTCCTCCTCCGAGCCTCCTCGCTTCCAACATGCCAAAGGAGCTCTCCCAGTGGACCCCAGGAGGTGTGGACTTGGAGGGTCTTGACACCCTGGAGGCTGGCCTCAGGGGGGATGTTCTCTGCCAAAGCAGATGGTCCCTGAGGCGCCTGTGTGCTCTCCAGGCCCTGGGGGTGGCCCTGTCCCCCTCGGGGTGCATCCTGGTGGGGCCTGGCTTGTGGAGGAAGCGCTGAGGGTGGGGCTGTTGCTGGAATGAGGAGGGCTGGGCCTGACCTGCCCTGTGCCACTGTTGAGAATCCTGTCTGACCTTTGGGGATTAGCTGCGTGAGGTCGATCATTTGGGTCTCTCTTTGTTTGCTCATTTCCAGACCAGGGTCCCTGTCTGGGAGCTCAGATTCACCTGGGCTCCAGCTTCCTGGCCTCACGGACAGCCTGGCTCTGGACTCAGCTAGACTGCCACAGTCACCAGCTCTGTACAAGCAATACTTAGCCCTCTCTGCCTCCCCGCCTTCCCGCACTCCGCAGCTGCCCTCCGGAGAGGGGCCTGGCCTGCTCTCGGCACCTCCCCTGCCTCTGCTTTCTTCCCACCCTTGTCTGGTTGGAGCTTCCCAAAGCCACTCAAACCCTGACTTCATATGACAGCTGGGCCCTGTGTGGGGGAGGGTACCAGGGCCTGGACCCGTGAGATGTTTGCTAGGAATGCCCAAATCTGTCCTCTCCTTCCGCGGGTCTACGGCAAAAGGTGAGCGGTTGCCCAGGGGGTGGACACAGCAGCCCTTGGGTCCGTGTCTGGTGGGGAGAAAAGAGGTGGCCGGAGGGGTCAAGGTATGGAGAAGACCGTCCCTCTGCCTCTTCCCCAGACGTCAGCCCCAAGTGCTGCATGACTCTGACCTACATGCTCAAGGTGGAGGGGAGCTACCCAGCCGAGCAGTGGAGCGGTCTCGGGGCCTGAGCGCTTGGACTCCATTCATAACCAAAGCCAGACAGATGGGCATAGAGGCGGATTCTGAGGGCAGGTGGAGGAGGCAGCTGTCAGGAGACAAAGGGCCTCCGTTCCTGGTAGGGACCCACATCAGGTTGAAGCCAGAGCCTGGTAACCTCCCTCCCAGGAAAACCCTACTGGTCCTGCCCACAGATGGAAAGTGGGTAAGGGCAGTAAGAAATGAACCAAATGGGCTCCTGGCTCCTGCCAAAGCCTCCAATCTTGTCTTATCACAGATGAGGACGGTTGTGGGCGTCGGGAGAGGGAAGAGGCAGCTGGGTCGAGTTTTCTCTTTAGGCAGAAATTCTCTCCCGTTGTTGGGATTGGGTAATGCGCGCATTTCTCATGTTTCTAAAAATAAGGCAAAGGGCTCTGTACTCTTTGACCCTAGGGTGGGGAGAGGGACGAAACTCGCTCACAAAAGGGTATTTTATGTCCTGTCTGTGATGTATTCACCTCTCCCGAACAGTCACCCTCAGGATGGCGTGAACATACTCTAACTTTTGGAACGGCGGGATTAGTAATGACTCCTAGGATGGCGTAGACATTTGCTGATGTAGCCCCGAGTGGTGCTACCGAGACCCAGGGGAATGGGGGATATCAGGGAGGGATATCACCCTCATTCCTTGAGGGGCCTGGGAAGACAGGGAAGGTGGAGGGCTGCCAGCAGAGAGCCTGCCTCTGGGTGGCTATAGGCCACGGTCCCCTTGCCTCTGGGGGCAGGTTAGCACAGCAGAAGGCCTAGCCAGAGCTGAGGCCCGACCGGTGGGTAACTTGCGCTGACTTGCCTCCGGGCCCTAGCCGCCAAAACTGCCCAGGAGCTGGGCCGCTCTTATCCCACCTCTTTAATGGGAAGTAATTCTCCCCAGGTTGACCTTAGGGAATTACCCTCTTTAACACTTTGTACCAAATCAGTTACCAATCCGCACCTGGATCTCCCCCCATGATGGTGAGTTCACTTGAGGCTGACGCGTGTGTGATGGTGAATGGCTGGGTTTCAGGGTCTGTTTCTCATCCTCCTCGATACAGGGGCTTGTCTGAGAAGCTGTTTGGGAGCTAGCCTGTCCCAGGAGAGGAGGGGGCACAGTGTGCCACCTGGCCTTCCCTGGGGTGGGGAGCATCTTTGAAGAGGGGATGGTGGGGGGAGGAGGCAACACGATCTCCCCCAGAGTGCTCCCTAACCTGGGACCGACGCACTGCCAGGTACCACGCCCTGGTTCTGCAGGCCTGCTTCCCCCAGGTGAGGCCCAGAGCTGAGGACAGGACGGGGCTCTTTGTCATCCCCCTTCCTCTGCTCTGGCAGGTTCGTGGAGGATGCGGCAGAGATGGGGGTGGCCCTGCAGCAATGCTGGGCTGTGGGCAGGAACCGTGACGGATGATTCAGAGCATCTGTCTTCACGTTTCTGCTCTGTTCAACGTGTCCCACTTCCTTCATAGACTCCATCCCTACAGGGACGTCTGAGGGCCTTTGGTATGAATCAGGCTCCAGTAAATGGGGCCACGTCTGGGTTTGACAAGGGGGATTTGATCCTTCAGGGAAGAACCAGCTCCGAAACTCCTCCCCATCCCATCTCTTCCACCTCCCAGTTCTCCCAGGAAAGGAGCGGAGGGCTTAGGAGGCTCTCCTGGCATGCTGGCATCCCAGGGGCGGGGGTGAGGCAGAGCCCAGGGGCTCCAGAAAGAGGGCACCTGGGTAGCTCCTCACTCGTGGGATCGCCAGTTCTCCCAGGGGAGTGACCCCTACCAGGGCAAGCATGCCCAAGCTCTTCTTTACTGCCAGCCTTGAGGAGAACAGCCCCCTCCCCCTCTCAGAGACAATAGAGACCTCCAAGGGTACGTCTCTGGAAACGAAATGTAGCACAATCTTCGACTGCGTGACCAGGAACCCTGATGTGCAACCAGGGTTCTCCCTCCACACCCTGCTGCCCGGGGGGGCCGCTGAGCTCCTCCCCCATGGGGGCTCGGGGGCTCCCCGATGCCTCCGATTCCCTATCCTCCTCGGCCCAGAAAGCAGCAGAGCTTCAGGAAGGCCGCTCTTCTGGGTCTCTGATTGCTTCCTGCACTGTGCAAACTCTGTGCAAGAAACGGCTGCCTTTGCTTGATGGTGGAGACGAGGCGCCTCCCCCCCCCACCTGGCTGGAGGGAGAGGGTGCACCGCTCAGGCCCAGGTGGGCCCCGCAGCATTTCTGCGGGCGGGCGGGCGTCTGCAAGGAGATGGAGAAAAAGAGGCCTGCTCCCTGCTGCCTCCTCCCTTTATGCTCCAGTCCCGGGCGTTTTCTCCTCCCCGATCCTGACACGGAAAGAGGCTCGTGAACATGCTGCTTCCTGTACTGGATTCTCTTTCATCGAACGAAGAGGGAGGAGATGGGCATGTAGATTCTTCTCCTGTCTTCTTCCTCAAGTCTGCTTTTCACTCAGGTCAGAAGAGGATGGGGCAAAACCAAACACTCACGACTGAAGGCAGGGGAGCCCCGCCCAGTCAGGGGAGGCCTGGTGGCGGCTGGCGGGGCCCGGTCTGGCTGGGAAAGGCTGATTTTGAGAGTGCCTGAGCATCTCAGAGCAATGTCGGTGATGCCAAAGAGAGCAACTTGGTCTCCCTGGGCACCAACTCTGCCGGTGCGGCCGCACAAAGGCGGCTTCGGCTGTTGGCATGCCTGATGGTGGGACCTTGTTCTCTGACAAAGGGCTTAATCTTTCCATGTAGCAAAGCAACTCCTTCTCCCCCCCAAACCCCGAGCTCGGGCTTTTGTGGGCCCAGCCTGGCTGTGCCTGTGAGGAAAACCACACCAGTAAGAGAAACTGAATTCTGTCAGGGGCCTAGACTAGCTTGGGGTGAGTGCTTGTTGAGAAAAGTGTGTTACTGCTTTGGGGAAACCTTCCGGGGCTCTCGTTGGAAACTTAGTGAGGCCGGGGGCCTTGCGCCTCCAACCCCCCCCCCCCCGCCCAGGGAGTTCACACCGACGTCAGGATGGGTCCCTGGGGACTGGGTACCAGAGAGTTTGGCTAAAGAAAGGGGCCCTGGGAATCCAGGGGCCACAGAGCATCCGCCCCCCAGCTCGATGGCCTGGATAGCTGGCTACAGAGAATCAAAGCCTGTTCTATACAGTTTTGTCCCAAAGTGTGACTTTGTGCAAGACTCGTCACTTGTCTGGGCCTCAGCTTCCTCATCTGCAAAATCAGAGCATTTGCTAGTTGCTCCATGGTTCCCTCCAGGTTTTAAAAGTCTGATCTGGAGCGAAGAGGGTTTCCAGCCTGGTGCGCCTGGGTCCGCGGGCTGGTTTGGTCCAGCTCCTGGTGCCCTGACTGGGTGCGGGTCCTCATCCATCTGCACTCAGATGCTGCTTCTGACAAGAACTCTGGGAATCCTAACAGACTCTGCTTCCACCTCTTTGTGGTTTGTTTTCCCTCTTTTCTTCTTGTGTAATGACCGGAAATACTTAAGGGTTGTCTACAATGGACAATTTTCAAGGTGCTGATGTGATGGGACCCCCTCAGCCGCGTCCTGCA